TATATGAACATTTATGCGTGTTTATATATGTTTATGTATATTCATGTATGACAAATTTGTTAGTTTTTACCGGGTAATTATATTTAAATGTACATATATACATAGAGATAATAAATTATGTTTCGGCCAAAACTGGGCCATCTTTAGTATATCAAAATGATAAGACAAAAAGTGTATAATTTAACGTAATAATGGAGTGTCAATATTAAATAAATGATAAAAATATTAGCGCGATTAGTACAAAGATTCCCACAGATAAAACATATAAAATTATCTAGTCGTTATAAATACAGTTATTATATGTTATACTGGATCTATGATGATTCAATTTTGCTATTTCTTATTCCTTGTATCTTTACAAGTATTTCCATTTCACATAAACATTGTGCAAATATAAGAATTCCAGGCATAATTTATGATATTTATATTGTAAAATATAAATTGCAAAATTATGAATTATATCGTTAACAATTTTTTTTTTTTAAATAAAACATACTCAGTGTTAGAAATAACTTCATAATTGTATCGAGTTGAAGATATTTTTCAAAAATCAAATAGAAAACAAAACCTATTTTAATAACGTGTCTGCAAAATGGTGTCGTGATAATAATAGAGATTTTTTTTATATAAATGTAAATAATTGTTATACTATTACGTTAAATGACATAAAGAAATACACTTTTTGATTTGCAAAGTCACAACAGTATATAGCGTGACAAAGATGAAAATATAAAAAAATAGATACATTAATTGCTATAAAAATTTATTACCATTAATTAGTTTAAAATCAATATATTTTAATGTCACATTTAATATGCGTTCAAGACGAAATTGAGAAACGACAAATTAACTAAAATTAAATATAAAAAATTAAATTGTATATAGGCTACAAGTAAAAGATGGATGTCAATCGCTACAATGATATTTAGTATTTAAAACATGGATAAGAATATAACATAGATAAACGTTTTAAACCTTTATTAGGTTAGTTCAAAACAAAAAAGTTAGCAACGTCGGTTAACAATAAAATTCAAATAATACAAAAAGAGTTACAAAATTCCAATTATTTTGTAGTTCTTTTTATGTTATTTGAATTTTATTGTTAACCGACTTGGCGTTGTGAACTTTTTTATTATTTACTACGAGGTCTGTTCAAAAAGTATCGCGAATTTTGTGTTTTTTCAAAAATTATTTATTTATTCATGAATATCTATTTTGTCCCCTTCAAAGTAATCCCCATCAGATATTATACACTTGTGC